AGACACCACCACAGGCGGATAGATCCGCTACATATTCTTTCAGGAACCACATACAAATGTCCCCATACACATCTGCAATGCCAGACACCACCACATACAAATGTCCCAGAGAGAGAGAGAGAGAGAGAGAGAGAGAGAGAGAGAGAGAGAGAGAGACATTCGTTAGACTTTTTTCCCTGTGGCAGATATATCCGCTACATATTATTGTCTGTGGCGCATACATCCAGTACATATTCTCGCCTGTGGCGGATAAATCCGCTACATATTCTTTCGAAATGAGATGTCCGAGCCTGTGGCGGGTACATCCGCTACATATGTCTAGTATATATACTCGCCTGTGGCGGATACATCCGCTACATATTCTTTCAAAATGAGAACAGGACAGAGAGATGTGTTCGAGTAATGCAGAACTCAGAAACCACATACAAATGTCCCCATACACATCTGCAATGATTGACACCTCATCTGGAAACACATATGATTGCTGGAATGTCAAAATCCGAAAAGCGAAAAGGCGGGCGGAATACCCGTACGAGAAAGGAAGCGAATATCAACATGAATATCCCACAAAGCAACTCATCAACCTCGCAAATAAAGTGACACCTAATATATGAAGAAGAACAATATACAATAATTCTCAAATAGCACAAGGGATTTCTGATCCTATAGGCCGGATACATCCGCTACACAATCCCAACCTGGAGAACTGGCCACACGTACTCAAACTTGTCTCTGATCCTATAGGCTGGATACATCCGCTACACAATCCCAACCTGAAGAACTGGCCACACGTACTCAAACTTGTCATAAACTTTCAAGGCTACTTTTGAAGGAATTCTCAAATAACACAAGGGATTTATGATCCTATAGGCCGGATACATCTGCTGCACAATCCCGACCCGGAGAACTCACAACACATACTCAAACTTGTCCTACAGAACATATGATCGATGCCATTTTGATCTGATTGCTGGAATGTCAAAATTCGAAAAGCGGAAAGGCGGGCGCAAACCCCGCGCAAGAAAGGAAGCGAACATCAACATGAACACCCCACAACTTGAGCCATCAAGGCACTCCCTTAACGAGCACTTCAAATCTCATGTTATTGTACCTTTTGGACAACCCTCGCGCGGTTGCCTCTTTATTCAGATAGTCCACAACCGCCTTAAATGCACTAGAAGCGAATGACGCGTCACAAACCGGGTTATAAAATGAATCGACGAAGTTTACAACGTGCTTTCTGAAATCTACTGAAAGAAGGACCCAGTGTTTGCAATCCTTGTGAATGGGGATGAGCAATATATCGTATTCGAAAAGAAGGACATTTTGCGTCCACCTGCTGACCCCTCTAAAACCTTGCGACTACAACTTCGTAAAGAAAAAGGAAATGAAATTATACACTTTGAACGAAGATCGACGACAGTCCCTGGTGAGGAGAGCTAAGTAAAAATTCACGACCTCGTCGTTAAGCTTGCCGCCTCTATCCAATAATGTCACCATGTCTTTTACCCTAACCACCAAATTGTCGGCCGGGAGCCGAGCAATAACCATCACCGACGGTAGGCATTGTCCATCAACTTGGACGACTCTTCCTGATTTCCTCCAACGCCTGACATGCATACGTCTGTTGCACATTCCAACCAAGCAACACGCATGAGCATGAGAAGGATGACACCCTAACTGTCCGAGTCGTTTGGTTCTTTGCTTTGCGCTTTAAAATTATTATAAATTTGAACCCCTCTACTTGTACTCCTAGAAAAGTATGGCGCGGGTCTTGGAAGCGGAAAAATGGCGCATTTCTTGCAAAGTTTGATGTGCAACTTCGCAAATGTGTCAGAACTCATACCCGCCGCTTCTACAATCTGAAAATCCCTTCTCGACAATTGCGGCATATTCGTCTTTGTGAGAGACTTTTCTGAGTTTCTCCGCACGACACATGAAGGAGATGGACGACCTGTACAACAAGTAAAGAAAAGGAGATTATGAATATAACATATCGCCGCATTGCACAACCAACGGGCAACCAGCAATTACCCACATATCCAAACATATCGCCGCTCGCTACATCGAAAAGTAAACTCCAGATGCTCATACAGTAGTGGGACCCAAACACTTATGTCAGTGAATTAACTCCAAGTGCTCATACACTACGTAGACCCAAATGTGAGCAACACATATCAAATGTGAGCAACACATGTCACTGCTTACCAGCCACGGCTTCGTGCCGGAGATGTTCCTTAGTATTCTTCTCGTCTAAAACTTTCGGTTGTGGTAAGTTTTTTCTCAGACATGTCGCGCTTAGACCCAGCACGAACTCTTCAGTCTGCGCCGATGCCATAATGCGATCTAACTGGGATGGAAGTCGGGACAAGTCCTTAATGTCCGCGTCGATGAGGCAAACAACTTTTTCCGGAGCGTCGGGACACAACTCTACAGGACGACCAGTTGTCCCACCACTCCCACGGATGGCAAGAACTTCATCTTGAGGAGTCAAGAGAGAGATGACAACGGGGGAATCGTGGAAGAGTGTCTTGACAAGATCATCTTTGATCGGACGACGGAAAGACAGCTCTTCCACTTCGAGCATGGTGACGTCCTCGTCCTCATTGCAGTCGCCCGACACGACTGTGACCATATGGATTTTGGAGGGCCGTATGTCAGGAAACCCTGAACATAACTGCGAGACATACCCGCCATGGGAACCGCCACAACGTGTATCAGGTGGTGGAGTCACCTGGTCTTCCACACCCAGGGCAAGGGTGTTATCCGTGCTACGTGGCCGATGCGCGGAGGAGCAGATAGATCCGCCGCCGGTGGAAACGGGTCTGACAACTAACTCCTCCTTCTGCTCTGCACTGACACGAAGCCCTAGACGGCGAATACATCCGGCACCAGCGAAAGAACCGCCATCACGCAGCCCGCGCCCCTTGTATGACCCGCGTGCATGTTCCTCCGGTGCATTTGTCATAGGGACATGACCGCCCTCGGAAGCACCGTAATGTGTGTCAAAGGGTGCAGTCTCCGGGTCTTCCATACCCAGGGCAAGAGTGTCGTCGGTGCTGCTGAGTTGATGCGTCGAGGAGCGGATATATCCGTCACTGGCCGAAATGCTTCCGACAGTTAAGTCCTCATTCTGCTCCACACTGACGCGCCCGCTTGGATGGCGGATACATCCGGGGCCGGCAGAAAAAAGGCCAACCCGCCCCTTATCCACCTCAGACCCAGTTGCACAAGGACTCGCAAGAGAATCTGTCCTTCTGGGGGAGTATGACCCGCCTACAGTTTTCTCCACCACATTCTCTCTGCGAAGGAAAGTGACATCCGTAACAACTTCGCACTTCCGAGTGTCGCGTCCTAGATCCTTGGTGGAAGCCACGTCGACCGAATCCGCATCTGCCATGAAATTCGATCCGGCGAAAACTGTACCGCGGATACATCCGCTGCTGGGAAATGAGCGATTTCCTTGCCCAAAGACTTCAGCACCGAGCGGATACATTGTCGGCGGTGGAGATTCAACCTGCGGTGATCCCTGCCCAGTTTGTGAGCTCATTCCTTCTACTGAAGCTATGGCACCTATTCCGCCATCGATCGTGACTGTGCCGCGGATACATCCGCTGCCGGGAAATGAGCCATGTACTTGCCCAACGAGTTGAGCAGCTTG